GATGCAGTTTACGATGTCCACCACACGTCTGGGAATGTACCAAGTTACGGCCCGACTCTGAAAATTATCATGCATACTATTGACCCTGGACAATGAGCATTCCTATTGCTCCTTCTGCCAATATAACCAAATTGCGAAAACAAGGTCTTACAACTCCCACCCATTCATGTATTACTTAAAGAATTTATACTTAATGCCACAAAATAGAGGTTTCGCTTAATTTGTTTCCATGTCGAGCAGAAAATATATCAGCACTTGTTTTTGTTCTGCTTTTATCCCTCTCAAAAGTTGATTTTGCAATTGAATCTACTTCGCAATGTATTTTTTTCTTTGTATTATTTGCCTCGGGACGCATTGATCACCATTGAATATGCAGTCTAAGACCAATAATATTGAGTCACACACTAATTACTAGATCTTTTAATATTATAACTAAAGATGATTACAGAAATGTGATGAATGACACAAAATATTGCTTACTTTTTATTATTGCTTACCCCTTAATAAATCTTAGTTGACCTAGCAATTATAATACAAGGACAGTTGTGGCCTCCAAATTAATTTGTTTCGTCTCATATCCTTATCTTGATTAAAGCTGGCGCAACTTCTCTCATTTAAATCCTAAATTTTTGTTATGTATATTACTAAAAGATTTGTGGCAACTGGTTGCCGCAGTGCGCCTCCACGTGAGATGGATACCTCTTTTATTGTCATCAAGTTTATCTTACGAGATTTAATGCCCAAATGCCATTTTTTGCTTCTGTTATCCTTTTAACTCCCCCCTAATTATGAATTCACTTTTTATTTTTTCTTCAAAACTTCTATGCGATGGTTTGTAAGAAACGCAATTAGATCAGACCTACAGATAAAAACATTTTTGTTTATCATACTTTATCATCCACAAAGAAAACTATTTTCATAACTAAAGTCCTTGTAAACTTACAACGCAAAACAATCTTGGTGTTCTTATTTATCCCTAGACATCTTGAACTATATGGAGGCTTATATAAACAAATTCCTAGTCAATCTTTATTTGAAAAAAATTAGTCTATCCATCTATCTAAATGCCATCATTTTATTTATTTTCGAATGCTCCTTGCATTTCAACTTCGCTATTTTATGTAACGAACTTGTCATTTCTTATCTTTATAATTTCACACCTTTTTTTGTCTCTGTCAACAATTAGCGATAATTCCAATTCTGCATATTATTGATGTACTTTATTCTTGTCTGAAATTCCTAGGACCTTAAGTGACTTAATGTATAGACATTCTATACAAGTACAGACCTCAGTATATCTCACATATCTGATACCAATTTCCAATTACAAACTATGAAAACAAAGCCCTCCTTAGCTGTATCACTATTTTCTGATTATTTAATCATAATTTTATTGCCTGCAAGATTAATCTTCCAGTAGGTTAGTTTATCATTGTCATCCTTATTATCTTCCTATCTTAGTTTCTCATTTGGAATATGTGCCTCTCATTTACGAATTATACCCTAGGAAACTTAGAAAGCCTACTACTTCTTGACATATATAACTCTCTCCTGCTTCTGGTCCACTTTTCCTCATTGTATCTATTCCGTAAAGTACAAACCCAAACCAAATCATTTTCATGCATGCATTTTCCTCATCTTCGACCACCTATTAATTGAGCGTAGTTGAAAGGTCACTTCGTTGTGTTAACTCTAGAAATGGAAATTAAGCTAAACAATTATATCCCCACTTCGTAGGAGCCCATTTAATGTTTTTTTTACAAATACTGGTGTCTGGTGCACAATTAATTAATTAATTAATTTGATGCACGAATATTTAAATAATTTTTTATTCAATCGAAGTTAGTTGTTTCTCCGAATCTAACCTTCGAAAGGCAAACAACTGGTATGTTTTCCTTATTTCGAGGGTTGGTGGGGCTCCATTTTGGGTTTTATAGTCAGCATCAAAGATAATTTACGAAAGCATTGAACATTGCCTTATTTTGTTTATCCCGTCCTCTCGTATTCTTCGATATTTATGGGTTTAATTAAAGCTCTATTTGTAGAATCCATCCGAGCCCCGTTGACATATAAGGAATAACCGACCGTCTCAAGTATGAACCGTATTTGTTTACCTAAAAATTCAACTTGTTTACGAACCTGTTTTTTCATTTAAAATTTATCTTGGCTTTGCTAGGATTTTGAGGGATCTCAGACCTCTTAAATCCTTTTATACAATAGTATTTATAATTCCCTTTCACCATTTCTTAATGTCCTTGGGCTAATTCGTTTTTGGGCCAAACAAAAAAGCATTATCTCAGCTCATGTGAGCTAAGCCTATGGTTCAATTACTCTGATCGTTTACTTTTTCGCCTGTTCTCTTTTTCTTCCTCTTCGCCAATTGCTTCGCAACTCTTGTTTTTAGCTCCAATGGCATCGAATAAAGGCTGGCAAGGAGATTCAAGACATTCCAGTGGATCATCGCCATGGCCTATTCGATAATGGTCGTGAATTGCGCATCAATGAGGTTAACAAGGAAGAGGATGAGGCCGACTACCGATGCATCGCACGCCTCGATGAGGCAGTCTCCAACACGACGATCGCATTGAAAGTCTCGCGTGAGTTTCTAAGCTGTACTACGATGCTGTTACACCATCCATAATCCTTCCATTTAGAACATTCCAGCAAATAAGAAAATTATCTGTCATTAACAATTGTTATTGTTGTACTTATATTGTTGCAACCTGAGGACCCAACTCTAACACTATGTAATTACCTTGTAATATTTTAATGACTATTTTATATGTGATCTTTCTATGTGAGGAGTGTATACACCTTTGATATCTTTTAATACTATGAATTTATAAGCAATAATTGACGTAGCAACAGAGGATGAGGGATAAATGTAAAGACGAAGCATATTTTGATAATAAACATTGCTCAAACGATTTCTAAATTCCAGCAATAGATGCAAACCGTTAGTTAATGAACTAACAATTTCATGCTAGCACATCGTGCTAGAAATTATGAACTAACCACATTTAATATGTGGTTGCCAAGCCATCTAAATAATCGTAAAGTATGTATCATCACCATACCACTTAAAATGGATGATAGAAGAGTTTAAGAGTATCCTGGTCTGGACCATTACGAGATATAAGAATCTGACCAGGTGAAACATGGATATACTTTTACTAATGCAATCATAAAGGAAAGATACGGTCAACTAAATGTTTTTAATTCAGAATTTCCTAGATCTAATTAATAAAATTACAGGTTACCTAGACACAAAAGGACAATCCTAATGGATTTTATGAAACATGGTGTGACACTTAATGCAGCATTATATATATCTAACTTAAGGATTTTTCGTTTTGCCATTGAAAGGGTGATACATAATAAACGTTCCAATTCAATTTTCCGAGAAGATTGTCCATTGTATTTGAGATACTCGAAATTTGTGTCACATCCATGCTACAGCCTATATTCGTGGTGTTGGGTAGGAATTATTTCGTTGCCCGAATGATTAGATAGAGGAGAAACATACGATGTACAAAGTCCGCACTCAGCAGTGGTGCCTCATTGGATTGAATGCGAGGAAGATTAGTTTGAAGAATAAACTACTAATACACTTCATTTAATCTCATTGTGCTTCATTATTCGGTAACTATACTTGCTGGATTCGGTATAAACCTCATATTCTTGGTGGTATTTGTAAGATTATCGAAAATATCTAATCGGACGGAGGCAAAATGAGCCAATAACAAGTTTATGCTGCGTAGACTATAGACAATTTATGCCTTACACCAATAGGCATTTCGCCTTATTTCTAAATCCAATAAAAAGTGTGGATATTTCAAAACGAAAAAATCTACTGAATTAATTCTTACTTAAGCCTTAAGCTTGGCTTATTTTCACAATAAATAGGTTGAGAGATTATCATTACTTTTTGACTGAGGTCCGTAGTCACCCTAGGCTACCTAATTTGATGAAGGGTTGCTAACTGCATTTTATAAATATGCTACGAGTAGGCCACACGATCCAATTGAGTTTTATTTAGCCTTGCATCCACGATGGACTGTATTTTCGATCTCACCTGAGTATTATCAGCAGACTACTGCTGATTCTCGTTCTACAGTCGTTTTATTTTACTATGGCGTCCATGTTGACGTTATCAACTAGAAATCATCCTTCAGTTAGAGTATAAGCGGGCTAAATATTTGTTCATCATAGGGCAGCTATCATCAGAGCTGTATCTCATTATTACAATAGCTTCAAACAAACTCTAAATCATTACTACTAACTGACTATATATAATCACAACTATAAAGGTGTCATTTCCAAGTCCATGCACAAACACAATGTCTAATTTAAGGTACCGACCTTTATGTATCCTGAGCATTTCATTTCCATAAGAGGAAATCATCATGCTTTGCCGCGTCAATTCAAGAATTTTTCAATGTCTATGTTTGGTTGTGAAATGCTTGTAGAAACGACCTTGTCTGATAATAAAAATGGCTCTAGTACCTCGTAAACTTCTTAGCAGAAAAGGTTGCATTAATTGTCTGAATAACAACCACTTGGAATAGGAACCACATATATCTTCTTCCGTCCACATACTCCGTCTTTAGTGTCCATACCGTTTCTTATATTAACATTTTATTTTCCGCCCGCTTATCAGGCGCCCCAGTGATTCAGGACTTCATCCTCATGCGCCAAGTTCGCCACGGTGAAGACAGTTTGGCATATGTTTGCATGCCGATGAACCAGGCTGATAGGCCTTGGTATGCCTGGTGGCAGTTTCAGCGCGACGGCTCCACCGGAATCGTCTCGCTGCCGCCTCCGGAGCACGGAGGCCATAACCGCTTCTTAGTTTCTGTAAGTTATTTGACTTTTATCACGACTTCATCACTAGGTCTTGTGCTGCCCTCATCTTTTTTTCAAAGGAAATGCTAATACAAATGATAAAGAATCGCCTATCATATTATCAAAACTTTATATATCAACTCCACTTTGAGCAGATTTTTATGTAGATCTAGGTAACTAACTCGAAAATGCAACGTTTTTAACGTAGGCCTTCCCAAATGAAGACCTGGCTGCCAGGAAATTGCACGAGTGCATGTGTTACTGTGATTCATATTTCTGGTGGAGGCGAGCATTGAATCTGGACCTTTCTATCTCAAAGCCATTTTCCCCATTAACCTACATGCAAATACAATGCGAATAGAAAAACAATGAATAGTTACTGTATAGCACTTTTATTTTAAATTGATTTCTTGTGACTCCACCTTTCAGAATTAGTCTCCTTTAACTCGTTTGCTTGGAATTAAATGATTTTCTGACTTTCTTTCAGCAACGGCAAATGCTCTGCAGACAGTTTATGTATAACGCAACTATAACAAACGATTTCTAGCAGTTATTTTTCCCCCACTTAACATGCAATCAGGCTACCTTGTTTATTGCCTGCAACTACAGTGCTTCCATTCATTAGGCTGCCTCAGATGGAATAGATTTTGCATATCCCGCGACACCTATCTCTCTGTCCCCACCGTTCCGCCTTCATTCACACCCGCTTCTTTGTCTGGCACTCAAAGTGGCTTCTGTTAGTGGACTTGCGGGATAGCAACCAATGAAACCGTTTTGTTGAAAAACCCTTTCTACTCCAACTCGAAGAAAGTCTGTAGAAGTCTCATCTTCCATGATCTCGTACTCCCTCTTCTGACATTTACTTTCTTTTGCTATGTTCTTCTCCCACCTTGTACACGTGCAGTTATTGTTTTTGTCAATGGTGCTATTTAAGCGTGCACTTAAACCCTTTTTTCGCGTTTAGCTATACAGTATATTAAATCGCACCTACTGCTTGATCGTCATCTCTGCATGTGACCATAGCTCGCTTGGATACCTTATTTGTGCTTTTGTGACCTTCGAATAGACAAAGATTGCACCTAGAATACGTTAGTAAATTAATGAATTAATTAAATAATGAATTAACCTCTCTGTGTATAAACCATGACTGTCTTGGACACGCGCACACACACGTACGCATGAATACATGCTGCCCCATTTCCGCAAGCATGTATTCATACAAATGCATTTTTAATGTTTGCTGCCCCGTGTGACTAGTATTGTCCGCACCCTGCAGCTGATAGGATTCAAGTCATAGTTCATTCTTCTCAGAGGCTCGTTTCCTCAAGATTCACCGGGTTTTCTATTATAAATGGAGTCGTCTATGCATTTAGACGATCAAGTCGATATTTGACCCTTTTCCACCTTAGGGATTCAGAATAAGTGATGGGATTGTACTGTGCGGGGGTTCGTAATAATCACTTTATTGTGCAAACACTCCATCTTATTTTGCGTTTATAACAATCTGTTCGAGATTATCAGTAGATCGTATATAAGAGATGTGCTCAACATATTTCATTAAAGATGATGGAGGACGGGTAGTTACATTTTCCTACAATGATATGA